ATATGCGTTTTTGCTGCCTGTTGCAGCGCTCTAGCGCTGCACGGCAAAAACGCATAAAAAGGGGAAGTTGGCTTCGGATTTGAAGACGACTATTTATTGGAAATGTATTTTTATTAACTTTTCGATTTCCTCTTCCAGCTGGGTTTTGTTTGTTTGTGTTCCTGGAAGGCTGTATTGTTTACGCGGACAAATTAACGTAAAACAGGATGTATTTGCTGTACAACCAGTCGTTGGGACAATTTGGAGTTCAGCATTTGCTGAACAAATGCCGGCATTCCTACAGCCATTGTTTACCTCAAAAGGTAAATTTCTTTTTCTAATATTTTCATCTCATGCTTTTTGATGGATAAAAATTGCTGGAATTATTTTGAATTTTTTCTGAAGTTGTATTGGTTTGGATTCAGAACAGCCTGGTATTCTTCATTGATACTCTCAAATCTGTAAATCCCTTCTGTGTTATCCCCGTCCTTTCCTTTCCTCATTCCCCTCTTTTTCTTTCCCGTTCCTTCCCCTCCTAAGGAATTACCAACTGCATTAATGGCAAGAAGAAATGCGATAATGAAACAACAGCTGATCAAAGCATAAGGAAGATAAGTGACCTGAAGTTTGAACGGAAGCACCCACCTTTCTTCACAATTTTATTTTTCTTTTTTTGTGAATTTTTCATTTCCATGCATGTTTTTTGAGGTTTTTCAAAACACAGCATATATATTTACTTCGTTTTTTTCTACCAGTTTTTTAAAATTTTTCCGTAACATTATTACTTAGTAAAATTTCTGCAGTGATATCCAATTTTAGAGCCGTTTCGTTACCACTGCATGGATGAGGAACAGCGAAATTTGCCGAGTGCCTTTGTGATTTATCCAAAATCAAGCAGTGAACCGCCGAACTCATTTTGTTGGGTTGGTGCCAGCGGCTATACATTAGGACGAATAGACTTGACGGCAACCGATGCGTACGATATAGTTATCGAGGATGTGCATATTCCGTATGTTCATATTTCGATAGCCATACATCCGCAAAAACTGACAAGGCATTGATGATAATTTTAAGAGTTACTTAGAAATAGACTGGTGGCGGTTTTGATTCTTTGGCACGTGACAGCACTAATTCATCGCTGAAATAAGCCGTAAATTAATCAGTTTTTTCAATAACGGAATTGAAACACTAAATTGAGCCCGTGATTAACTCATCTTTTCACTTTATTAGTAGAGAATAATGATATAGAAGTGGAAAAAATGATGTAATATCAGAAAACAATAAAATTGTGATGAAGCCTCGTCAATACACCGTCACAATCCAATCATACGTTAACGGTAAATGCTAGCAGTGTGTTATGATTAACCAAAAATAATCGGAAAAAATGGGGTTGGAAGAGGGAAATAAAATTAATACAGGAAGATGAAATTAATAAAAGATAAAGCATATGGGCAGTCCTAAATTTCTTGCTGCCTAAATCATTTGTTTTAAACAGCAGCCTTCATTGCTCCTATTAGTTTCTCCATTCTTTACTTTGCGATTGTCCCATCAGCATAATTCTATATTATTCATTCATAATTTCTTTCTTGTTTCCTTTTCATTTCACCAGCAGAAATAGTACCCTCATAATGTCAGCGGAACATTCAACAGTTCGATTTTTTCATATTGTTTTGTATTATAGAGGCCAAAAAAAAAAAAATCAAATGCGTCCTTTTCTAAAAATTTGGAACGGAAAACTTCTCGTTTTTCGGTTAGAATAAGAAAATGAAATTGGCATCACATGAAAATCAGCACCTAAAATTGGGTGAAATTTTGCATATGGGTTTTTTTTCATGGTTGCGTTTTAATATGTAAAATCTGTGTCGTTTTTCGCAGTGCTCATACACGCATATTATCAGCAATCTCGCGCGCTCACAATTCGTTTGCTTCTTCTCTTCATCCGTTTCTTCACTGACTCTTCCACGCAGAGTATGGTGAAAGGAACGTGTTTTCAAAAATGGCTGTGGACCAGGAGGGAATCGAACCATTTCCTTTCAAACCAGCAGGCAACATGTTACCCGCTACACCACTTGTCCAAGTACTCCGGGATCAGCCTGGCAGCACATCTACTGTGTATCCGACTTTCGAGACAGATCACATCTTCAGTGCCGCTGATAGGTGGTATGCATCGTTTTGCTTTGTGCTGGCTTCCTTTTGGCCAGCTTTTCATAGGTTTTCCAGGAAATGGACCAGATTTTCTAACGCTTCCCATCTAACTTTTATGGACTGACTCACAAGATCGCATTTGCCATCATCTGCTCAATCTTTTTAGTTAGTTCTGGATCACTCTGATTCAAATTATTCCGGTGTAATCCAGTCTGGTCTAGTTTTCGGTTGAAATTAATCTTACTTACTTTCACTTTTTTAGTTCATTTCAGGCATAAATTAGTGGACGGTCGTCACAGCTATCCGCTGGACACTGCATTAACGGAATACAATGTTTTGTTTTTGTACAGTGATCATATTGAAGCAGTTTCGTTGCTCAATCAGAAACGAATGTTTGAGGATATCATTGGAACGGTTAGCTATTTTGCAACAAAGTGTATTTTAAGTGGAATAACAGACTGAATTGTGGTCAGTTCTGTGAAAAAGTGGCACGTGTTTGAACATTTTTCGGTGTTTATTGACTCCTTCATGAAGAAGATACATGCTGTTTCATTTTTATGCGTTTTTTGCAGCAATGCAATGCGAAAAACGCATATTGACGAGAGGTTGTCT